TGAGGATTTGGGGGACAAAGGAAAGAGATTTCTGGGGCAAAAGAATAAGACAAACAACTTTGGGTTGCTAACAACCTGTTTTTGAGATGAGGAGGAATATGTCTTCTGGGATTTATTTCTAAATGATCACAAACCCCTAAGTGGAAGTTGCATGGAGACAGATTTGGGATGACAGTGATGGAGAGAACATTCTAAAGCCAGATGGTAATTTTAAAATACCAACAAGCAGGTACCTAAACCATTAAAGGTTGTATGTCCAAAAGAGATGCAAAGCCGGTGTGGATGAGTGTGGGGTCCACATCTCTGGCCATCTCCAAGGTTGCATACTCCATGAGATTATGTGGTGGGGAGTTCCTCACTGCTCAGCACTAAACTTGTGACTTGGACTCCAGGATTCCCAGACTCAGGTTTCCTCCTATCTATGTCTCAGAGCCAATGCAAAGATCAAACTGCAGACATTTTGGCATGTATGTCACAGTATGGCAGTGATTCTTACGTTTGGGTAGGTAGCAGCCTCACCCTGAGGGCTGCATCCAGGACAGATTTCCAGGCCTCACTGCTAGAATTTATAATTCAGCTAAGAATCTGAATCTCTAACAAGTTCCCAGGGGACACTTGCACTAATTCATCTGGACTGCTATAACAGAACATCATAGGCTGGATAATTTGTAAATGATATTTTTTGGTCACAATTCTAGAAACTGGGTAGTGCCATATCAAGACACCAGCAGCTCAGGTGTCTTGTGGATGGCCTCACTTCCTGGGTTCCCACATGGCAAAAGGGGTGAGGGGGCTCTCTGGGGTCTCTGTTATAAGGACACTAATTCCATTTAGGAGTATGCTGTCCTCATGACTTCGTCACCTTCCAAAGCCCCACATCCTAATATCATCGCCTTAAGGGTTAGGATGGCAACATACAAATCTTCATCAAATGTTCACAAACATTCAGCCTGTAGAGATACTGATGCTAGTGCTCTGGGGAGCCCATGCTGAGAACCACTGTTCTAGATTATTCTGCCAACATTTCTGTTTCCATGCAACCCTGTTTTCCTCCATGAAATATGCTATTTCTGGGTTCAACTTTGTGTTTAAGTTTCACTTTTTTTGTTCTCTTTTGTTGAAATCTTAACCCAGTCTATACATTTCTCTGGGCAGAAATTATACCTTCTAAACTCCACATTCTCTCATTTTCTGTTTTGTAAAGTAATAAGTACGTATCCAATGGGACTAATAACAGAATAAGAAGTGGGGAGGGGGCCCTAGACTTCCAACACCAATAAACAATACCCCCAAATAGCTACTGGCCCTTGGAATTCTCCTAAAAATTAATTCTGAGGCAAAAAACATTCCACTGTCAGTGGCAGTGCAGGACAGAAGATTATCTTCTTGATGACATATTTCGTCAAATGTGGATTATTCAAGATTTCAGCTGTAACTTACTTAAACACCAACGTTTTTTGAAATAAAATACCACAAACAGCATTTCAACCCATAATTTTTATAGCGATAGTCAGACTATTGTGTTTTCAACATGTAAAATCCATTACGCAGTCGTGGCAACAGTTAGCAATAGGTTGTAAATTTTTATTGAGATGATCATCTTGCAATTGAATTTCAAAATGTATTATACAATCATGGGCAGATAAGTCCATGGGGGCCGCTAAAGTACTTTGAATATCATTTATAAAGATCAAAAACCCTGGAAACCCTCACATTTACCCTTTGGAAAGAGAGAAGTTTCATCAGCAGGATCAAATCAATTACTTTTATGGATGAATATTGCATTGCAAAGCTGAGATAAGGTATTACCCAGTTTAATAACATACCCTTATGTCCTTTTAAAGGCGTCAGTTTCATAATCAGATTTCAATGAGGAATTTTACCAAAGGCCTGGTTTGAAAATAATCAAGAAAACGGCATCTCTGTGCATCATCGTGGCTCAATAACCTTCGAAGGAATATTTCCCTGCAACAAAAACACTCGCCTTACAAACTACGAAGACACACCACTGAGATACTTAAGAATAGTTACAGCCAATTCCATGATCACGCATGTTTTGAAAACATGAATTTGTTCCGATGCTACAGATATAAGAACAGACAATTTGAGCATAATGCAAATTTCGCATTTGCTTAGGTGTGATATTCTTAAGAAGCGCTGTTGAAGCTGCAAATTGCATCCACCTAGCCAACTGCACGAACCACAGCCACTTAGGAATTCACAAAACTCACACACCTCCAACCCCTACCTGCTCCCTCTGTTCACCACTTGTGTTATGAACTCTACCCAAAACCTTTCCCCAATTTCAGACAGCTTCCCTTCCACCCTGTGCAGTAACTCACAGGCTGCAACCTTTCTGATGCCCACTGCCACGTGCAAACTTCAGGTCCATCTCAAGGTAACACACCGTATCTATTGGGACACAGGTTACATAGCCCTTATCTGAAATGCTTAGAAGTATTTCAGACTTCAGAATTTGGGGGATTTTAGAATATTTGTATGTACATAATGAGGTATGTTGGGGACCGGACCTAAGTCTGAACACAGGATTCATTTATGATTAGAGTCACATATACCCTATGCACTTAGCCTAACGGTAATGCTATACAATAATTTTTAATAATTTTGTGCATGAAACAAAGTTTGTATACACTGAGCCATCAGAAAGCAAAGGGGTCTCCATCTCAGCCACGCATGCATGTGGACAATCTGTGGCTGTTTGGTGTCCCAATCATTCCTGACTCAGAATTTATATGCCATCAATAAGCCACCAATTTCTTATACTTATTCACAGATAGGTACTCAACAGTAAAAAATATAACATACCATGAATACAGTGTAAAAAACATGTGCTCAGGGTAACTCAGCACACAGTGGAATCTTCGGAATATCCATACCCGCTGTTAGAACACTGCGTCCACGACAGCAGGCTCTCCGTCTCCACTGCAGTGCTGTGTTTTGATGAAAAGGTTGCTGTGCATTGCATTTTCTTTTTCCCATGAGAAGAAACATCAGAAGTAGCATTTAAGGGACCAGGAAGTGGGTCCTCTCCTCAGGAGGAAGCATGGCCTTGGGTGACTTTTAAAAGGTTTCTTCCAGAATCATCTGCCTCAGTAACAATGCCTTTAGTCTGAGAATCCTGTCTTTGATTTTACAAATGGACACACTTTCTTGTCCTGTCATGGAGTCACATGGCCCTAGTCCTATACGTGCCCCTCATGCGTTTTCAGCGTGTTGTCTATAGACATTTTTCTGCCGTGTTAACTACATCACCTCTGTCCCCTCCCGTGGCAGCACACTGGCACTCAGCAAGTTTCAGATTTTGGAGTATTCAGGATTTTGGATTTTCAGACTATGGCTGCTTTATGTATTACTCAGCCATTTCACATGTATAATACTGAGTACCCTTTTCAGGAGGTTTCTCTTTCTTTTTTTTAATATGTCATGGATGAAGCATGAGTGTGACCCCCAGGCCCCACTTTTCCCCCAGAAGCTCTCTGGTGCTTACTGTATTACTTGGCACAGAGGGGTGGTTTTTAGGGACCTGTGTGTTGTATTAGAGCAGAACTGACCGGTCTTTACTTTGCTTTTTGCTCATGATTGCTGCGCTGGTGAATCCTTTCCCCTAAACAGAAGCTTTCAGCAACACTTTGTCCCTTGGAAGCGCATGCTTCCCACTCCCCTGAAATCCACTTCCACGGCACCACTCCCAGCTCTGCACACCGTGCTGCAAGCACTTGCCTCTCTCTATCATGGTGGGGCCGGAGATACACAGCTTACAGTCAGAAAATCTATATGAGTGTTAATCTTCACTGTGCCGCCGCTGGCCAAGTCTGCGACTATGGACAAGAAGTATGAAAATATTGACCCTCCATTTCTTCACGTATAAGGGGATAAAAGTACTTATAATGAATAGTTAAAGTGGAAAAAATGAGGCAACATAAATAATGTGATTTGCAAAAACTAAACTCCCAAGTTCTTCTAATTTCTTGAGTAGCATTCAGAGCCAGGAAGGTCTCAGGGATACAGTCAGATGCACAGTCCCAGCCAATAGCCCCTTATTAAAAATGCAGTAGAAGCCTCAGAGATACAGTCGGATTCAAAGAATCCCTCCCCACTCCACCCCCAGACACATTCCCAGCCAGCAAACTCTTAGGCAACATCCAGGAATGTCAGGGAAACAGAAATGTGGCCAGGAGCCCACAGAGATCTGAGTAGAATCTAGAGGACCTCAGAAAAACAGTCACAACCCAGACTCTTGTGTAGGAGCCCAGAACCCCCAGGGGATACAGAGTCTGAAGGTTCCTAGGGACTAAAGCAATTCTAGGACAATTTAGAGACACTGTCAGAGCCAGGAGCCACTTAGCAAGCATGTGGTTAGCACAGAAGTCCCTCAGAAAGAAAACGAGAACCAGGAACCGTCAGAACTGTCAGGGAAATGGCCAAAACCCAGGGCTACAGCCCCACCTGGGACCCTCAGGACTAAATTAGAATCAGAAACACCTTAGAGATTGACCATAACCAGGAGTCCTCATATCCTATATCTAGGACATAGCCCGTATTTAGTCTAAGTGTGGTCCTCAGGGGACGCAGAGCCAGGAGCCCTCAGAGACACAACCAGAGCCAAGAGACCTCAGAAGACCAGAGCCAGAAACCCTCAGAGCAATAGGACCAGGAGCCATCAGAGACATGGAGCTAAGAGATTAGCACAAGGAAGCCTCATCAGACAACTGGCACTTGGGGTCCCTGTGAGACAGAGCCCGTGCCCCATCAGAAACACTCTCAGAACCTCTCTGTGTCACAGCCAAAGTAAGGAGGCTCTTGGAATTACTGTCCAAGCCAAGTCCCCCGAGATGCAGCCAGAGCCAGACCCAAACCACAACAGGAAGTGCACTCCTGTCAAAGAAACACAGGAGTGATTCGTCACAGAAAGGCCAGAGGAAGACGGGTGGTGGCAATGGCGCAGCCTCTCAGAATGAAATCTGGAGGAAGGCTCTTACCGGCACACTTGGTCCTGGTGGTGAGGGGAGGCCCTGGAGGTCCCGTGCCCCCTTCACCTGGTCGCGTGAGTAACACCCGGATCTCATACTCCACATCGGGGTCCAGATGCCACAGCTTGTAGTTGGGGGAGTCGACGATGTGAGTTTCTGCCCACGTGCCCGTCGTGGTGCGATATTCCACCTCCTTCAGGATGATGGGGCCGTCCCCGATGATGGAGTTGGCGTTCGGCTTGATCCACAGGTAGGTGGCCCCCACAGCCAGCAGCTCTGGCGGGGCGATGGGCGTGGGGGGCTCTGTAAGACAAGCAAGCACAAAGGACTGTCATACTCGAGTGGTTTGCAGAGCAGACTCCAAGTGAGGGAGGACAAGGACAGAACTCTAGATATAGCCAGAGGAAATCATCCAAAACCCCGGGTTTTAACCCCAGTCCTGTCCTACTTTAATTTTCAAGTGTTTGTAAACACCTGATGCAGTATTTATTCCAGAACTATAGTCAACACCTACTATACTTCCCTTATTTAAAGAGAGGAAGGAAAGAAGGTGACACGAGGTTAACATAGCAAAGAGGCTGCTGTGAGTCCTCCGCTTTGCACCCTCAGAAGGAGGCACGCTTTGCTGAAGTGTGGTTCGAAACCCAGTCTGCAGTTTATTACCATGTCTTCTACAGGGACCTAGAGGTCCCCAAACAGTGTCGTGAGCCTAAGTAGGATAAGGCTGATGGCATAGCAGAATCTCAGCTTCTTCCCGATTCTGGCAGGTTCCTTCCAGCAGAAAAAGTGTCATTGGCCATGCTGGACCCAGCGGGAATGAAGGGTCAAAGCAAAGCTACACTGAGTTACCTTTTATTGCACTATGTCGCCACTCCCCACCCACTGACTTCCACAGTCAGCTAAGTCAACAAGAATTTCAACAGATGTGTATGATGACCTTTTCCTGGCAATCCTCCACCCATAGCAAAGCGGCAAAACTTAACACTTACTTGGACATCTTATATACCAGAAAACCTCACGTGCATCATTGCATGTAATTCTTGGGACATTATTACCTGCCCTGTGATGGATAAAAATACTGAGAACCCAAGAAATCAGGTCAGCTAACCCAGGTCATGAAGAAAAGGTAGGATGATACCTACGCCTGCTCGCCTCTGTGGACCACTTCTCCCCGTGAAACGCTGTTTGCCACTTAATACCCATGTTTAAAAAAATCAAGCTGGGTGTATTTGTATTTGTAGCAAAAATAGACATGGAACAACAATAAAGAAAATGAAAAGAGAAAATGCGTCCCCTTCTCCACCTCCTAACATTAGTCTTTTTATTTTTCCAGGTTCCATTCCAACTTTTATTTATATACTGACACCTTTTAACGTGGTTACAATAACACATAGAACCAAAGTAGATTTGCTCTTCTTCTTTCATTTATTATATTTTAAGCATCATTTTTTTACCCACAAAAGCACAGGCTTTATCATCATAGCCTTTAATATCTACAGAACAAGCCATCAGGTTATCACGCTAAGTATTCTTTGGTTGTTGGACCCACGAGTTGTTCCAAGTTGTGTAAATAATGCTGCAATGAACATCTTCACGCCAATGACTTTAGTCTTTCTTCTATCACATTTTTGTAGGACCAACAAGAACGAGATTATCTGTCAAGGAGTATGAACAAATTAATGGTTCTTAGAGTAGAATGAGGAAGTGGAAAAGGAGGATGCCCTGGGGTGGGGTGGGGGGGGAGAGTACAATGTAACTTTGTTTGAGAAATTGTTACTTCTGGAGGGCTTCTGGGCTATTCCAGTGGATAAAGGTAGGTCTGAGTTTTAGCTTAGAGCTCAGGTCAGGGCTTTCAGATAGAGACCCATTCAGCGTTTTCCTTCTAATTAATTACCTGGAAGGAAAGATTCTCTAGAATCAGAAGAATTGCAAAGAAACAGGGTGGACAGTATTTTCTCAGCGTGACTCAAAGCAGATCTTAAGGGACAGCTTGAGACTGCCTCTATTGCAGCCTGCCATTTGGTCAGAGGAGGAAATTAAGCAGATTAGTCAAGCTGGATGCTTTGCTTTACAAAGCCATGGAGGTTATTACTCAAGACCTTGTTATCTCAAAGGTGTTTGCAAATTGATTTTTGGATAATTTGTTCCAGGTAGAGAAGTTAGGTTGGCAGGCAGATAATTTCTGGGCTCATCCTTTGTGCATTTTAAATATATAGACCCTTTGATCACCATTATCAACTCTCCAGAGTTCCCATCAATCTCCAATGAGGCCCCAAAGGTGATAGTTTATAGCTCTTTGATGACTCTGCCCAATTCCTTAATATAATTATTCACAGACTGGACCTGGACAGAATTAAGAGGAGCAAACTTCAATACTTTGGGAGTTGAGCCAGTGGCCACATCAAGCTCTCGTCCATTGACTTTTTCTCCATGGTTCTCTGCTCTCCTATACCAGACATTAGCGGATTTCAATTGCTGACCACCAGAAAGGAAATAAAGCATTAGTCTTTCCAATGTTTAGTCTTTTTGTGTATTTCTACAAGTATGTGCAAATACAGGAACGAACCTCTCTGTGGGTATATAAATGTCCTTATGTCCATGATGTGCCAGTTCACACGTCTGTGTGCAGAGTTACCTGTGGTTATCTCTCCCTCCATTCCTTCAAGAACAGGCCATGTGAGTTCATTATAGCGTTCTTCCTATATCTGGCACCAAGAAGCCATCAGATTATTATTTTGTTTTGTTCTTTCTTTTCTTTAATGATCCATTTGACTTACAATTGGAATTCTTTAAAAGGTAGATGTACTAGTGGTTCAAAGAGAGAGACAGAAGCAGGAATGAAGTACAGAATGCTTTTTTTTTTTTTTTTTGTAAGTAGCACATTCTTTTTTAAATACATGGAAAACTCATGTTTATTATATCCATTCTCTTCTATCTCTAAAATGAACTATTCAACAAGAATGTACAAGAAATATGTGAGGCTATCAAATCCAACTGCCAGAGGCTCCAGGAAGGAAATCAAGGTCCAGAGAGGACCATGACCCCCTAATCTAGAAAGGGCAGGGACAGGGCACTCGAGGACGGCATGCCATTCCAGCTCCCCACTTTCTCCTCTTGTACTTGAGATGTTTGTGTACATCACCAGAAGTGTCACTGGGGGAAGTCTATACCTATAGCTTTGAACTTCAGAGGAGTGCAAAATTCTGAAAGTATGGTGGAAATTTTCCAGACTCTCTTCCCAGGAACATGCACCCTAGTATATTACCTGGAGTTCTGCACTCCAGGAACTTCATGTCAGAAATTCATGAGCCCCTGAGGGTCTAGGTTGAGAAGAAAGGAAATGTACAGAGATCTACTGATAGACAGCTTGCTTACAGTATCTTACACTTCCTCGGGTCTCTGAAGCAACCCTTATTGTAGAGGATAGAGGAGGGAGTGCAGCCATACAAGAGAAGCTGTCACAGAACTAGAACTCCCCCACCCCCAGATTCCCAAACCTATAGTCAAAATAAGCTGAGACGTCCACAAGACGATGTCGCATACATGTCTAAGGTTCCCATGATCATGACCACCCCCCACCCCACCGCCTGCAGATACATAGATTTAACATTTGGCTTAAAGTATTTAAAGGACAAAGATGTGACCCTCGTCATGACACAATATATTTAATAAGAAACCCCTCACAGAGGCCCATGTTTTGAAATCCATCTGTCTCCTTAAGAAGACCTTTGTCTAACCACATGGGGTATTGAGGTGAACAATCTTCCAGAAAGAAACCTTCTGTGAAAGAAACCCTACTTGGTCCATACTCTGTACATCTCACCTGCCAGCCAGAGCACTAAGCATGTGAAATTTAGCACCCAGAAGAAAGGCAGGCTGTATATCCACGGAATAAGACAGTGAGGCATCCAAGTAAAGCAGCAATGACAGGTATAATGAGACCATGGTGTGGGTGACAGTTACAAAGACCCAGAAGGAGCCTGGTCTGATACAGACATTCACATTAAGTCAATAGTTCTGAGTAGCTTGGGAAGGTACCATGTGGGGCCGGAATGACAAACAATGACAACTTTGTGCTCTGAACATTCTACAACACTGTGAACCTGTTGCTGCTTGTCACACATCACCCTGGGCACAGACCAGTCCTGGGAGCACAGAGACAAAAGACTAGGGCAAGAAAGAGGCTGATTCAGAAGCTGTTGACGAGGAGGGAATCAGAGAATAGAGAAGGCCTGGGAGCCAGACCTAGGTGGGTGCCATGAATGGACAAAATGATGCACAGGCATGAGCAGGACACCACGCAGGGAGGAGGGAGGGACAAGGCCCACATGACAGCATGGAAGATCCGAACAAAATTTTGTGTGCCAAAAACAGAAAAAGGAAGACAGTGTGATGATTCCACTTACACTAAGAATTCAAGAACAGGTGAAAGTGATCTATGGTGATAAAAGCCAGATGTACTGTTTATCTACGGGGCAGGTACTGACTAGGATGAGACACAAGGAAAATTCCTGGGGTGTTGGAACGTTCTACATATTGATTTGAGTAATTAAATAATAGCAATCAGAATAGCATTGCCTTAAGTAAGGTCACTGCCCAGAAGAAGGCAAATCAATATATGGTATATCTGTGACCCAGCTGGTGGGGATAAGTCACAAAATTTTGCTTAGAATGGGGCCCCAGAAAATTTGAAGAGAATGAGCCCTTAATCCCATGCCAATACCATCTCCCTTTATTTTTTTCCCACAATTATACTCATTTCTTAATAGTTTTGAAATGTACCATTGCATCATGCACATTAGGTGAGGTCCCCCCGAATAGTCCCCCTTCTTCCATATCCCCTCTCCCCATCCCTCTCTCTCCTCTTCCCTTCTACTTTATGGACTATCGTTATGTTTTGCCATTCATATGATTGTGTAGGTGGTTAAATATTGATTTCATAGTAGTATTGAGTACATTGGATCCCCCCTCCCCACCCCTCTCTCTCCTCTTCCCTTCTACTTTATGGACTATAGTTATGTTTTGCCATTTGTATGATTGTATAGGTGGTTAAATATTGATTTCATAGTAATCACCTTTTAGTTTTAAAAAATACTTAGCAGATGAGAAATTTGATGGTGAAAACTTTTATATTGTGACCAAATACACATAACATAAAATTTATCATTTTGAAGTATACGGTAAAGAAAAAAAATTTTTTCTTCTTTTGAGACAGAGTCTCACTCAGTCACCCTGGGAAGAATACTGTGGGCATCACAGCTCACAGCAACCTCAAACTTCTGGGCTCAAGCAATCCTTCTGCC